AGGCTCATAAAATGCATGCCCCAAAGGCGATTCCCGGAAAAAGCGACCTTTCTTCCGATACTAGCAGAACCGCAGACGATGTGGCGACATTTTTGTGTGTGTTGTGTGCGTGGAGAAAAACTTTCTCATTAAGTTGTGAGAAATTCTGGATATTGCATATAAATTGGGCTGACCAAAATCCCGCATAATTAAATAGATTTCACATTGCTTGTGTTTCCGGCCTGAAGAATCCAATTCAAAGTTGCTGTAAACCATCAAAAGTATTACCGAACTTTCAACCTGATAAATGCACTCTCCAATGAATCTCAGCTCTCGGCTCCCAGCTATTTGTGTTACACACTCAAGGTGCGTGTGACGATCAATGACACATCCCGAAGATCACACACAGCAAACAGTCGCAGGGCCTAATGTGTGGCCTAATGGTCATAATTATTTTAGCTTGTCTTATCGACAACAGTTGTCTAAATATACATTTGTTACTCGCCTCGGAGTGGAGTCACTCCGACGTCGCTTCGACGTCGCTTGGTGTACCCGCTGCCTGTGTCAAGTATAATCTGTTGCTGTGACAAAGGTGGTCATTGGTCCCCCATATTGTAGGCGTTTTTAGTTGTTTTTTTTTTATATTTAATTCTTCATTTCTCTAAATGGCTGCGACACACGCACCGACCGAGGCACGGTCATGATTGATCGCAAGCAATACACGTCCATTAAATATGACTTTAAGCCGCGGCGTGTGGATTGTAATAGATGATGATGAAATGTCCATGGTTGGTCTGTAATTAATTATACAACGGGAAAACAGTGACAAATCGTATATAAACGAACTGTATATAGACACGGAAATGTGGGTCTCTGGCTCATACTTTTTCATACTGCAGATTCGTATGTTTTTGTTGCACGATCATAAGCCTATTCTAAGTTAATAAAAAGTGAATTTATAAACCAATATTCCTCCAGCAAAATCTTATATTTATATTCACTTTATCCATCAGTAGCCAGCTTTTCATTATTATTATTAATAAGTACAATAACAAAGGACTAAATCCAAGGACTTAAAGGGAAGAAATTAATTGTGTTTAGAAGTGTTCGTTGCATTTTCGGGGTGGACACACTGCTGGAAGGGATGTATATATGTGTTCATTGAATCGAGTCTATAACTCAAGTACAAGCGCTTCATTGTCGAGTGAAGCATTAGGGAAATTAGCATACGCCATCACGTATACGCCCCCATGTGCGCCCCAGTCCTTGGCAGCCTTCGTTTTGCATGGCAGCAGCAGCAGCAGCAGCCGGAATAGACACTCTACACACTCATGTCACGATGCAATTTCAGGATATTAATTGTTATAGTTGCGAGATGTGTCTGCTCGAATTGTTCCTGGGGCGGCCTTTGTGCGTTGCAGCCAACGAGTTTCTAATCTTGTTGAAAACAAACCAAACCAAACCAAACCCATCGTCTTGCATTGGCCCTGCCATCTACCATACACCGACTCTGTCAAGGGCAGAGCCTGCTCTCTGGCTGGCTGGCTGGCTGGCTGGCCTGGCATCTCGGCTACACTGACACAGGGATTTCCGTACATGACAAGCGGCAGCTATAATTTATAGAAGCTGCGTAAGTAAGCTGCGTGGTTAAGGATGCCGCTACACACACACACACACACACACACACACACACACACACACACACACACACACACACACAGGAAAAGGGCTAGGCTTGGGGGAGGGCTGTGGCAAAGGCATGTTTTCCTTCGTTGCAGCCCCAAACCCATAGTTACAGACAAGGAACCGGATTCTTCTCCGTCGTAGAGCCAGCGTCTGCTATGATGCTGTATATTTGTTCTCGTCTTGTTTCACTTAAATGACACTTTGCATTCTTGTAGAGTCTTGAAACAGAGTCTCTCCCCTGCCCGTACAACCGAAAATGCCATCAAACGCCCTTTTTCCACTGCAGCAACGGCAACACTCGTGGGAGTAAGCGGGATACGGGGAAGGACTTCTATTCCGGCACAAATGCTGGGGACTTATGCAAACGAATCTTTGGAATTTTCCCTTAATTATTTTGTGCAAATTTGTGTGTCTTTGGTATTTTATAATTGAGTGTGAATATTTTTCGATTGATTTGAAAATTTGTGAAAATTTAATAAAATATTCTATCCAAAGGCAACGGGCTCTGACTGGCTGCTAATTGGCCAAACAGACCCAAGGACTCAAGAACAAACGTTTGGCCCTTTAACACATGCATTTTACATGTTTTCTTTTGGAATATACGTTGCAGCCACAGAATATGGGAAAACTCATTGAAAATATGCAGCATAAAGTAGGTAAAAGCAGAAGGCAGCTGGGGGAAACCATAAAGTATTTGAATCTAAAAGAAGACAACATTCAAATATATCTATCTATCCATAAGACAACTCGTGAGCTTGTAGCGGATGCGAATTGTGATGTGTCACGATGATTGAATGCCCAAAAGATGGGCCTTCACTGACCAGAGAGATTTCTCGTCTGAGATGACGATCCTAAACATAAAGAAGGCAACTAATCACAATAGTACCTACTACTGCGACTGTCAATAATAAATTACCTTGATTTTCACATGGTGTTGAAGGATTGCCCACACACGAAAGGCACTAGGGACAGGGGGAACCTGGGTAACCTGGGGACCAGGGATCGAGAGAGAGAGGGAGCGAGCCGACTCGCTCGTCGTACTGGGGCATAAACGGGTTATATCTGTGTGGCTGGAAAGTAAATGCGACAAGTTTCCAAATGGGTAACAATTTTCAAAGTGATTAATTCGCCTGCTGGCTGCCATCGAGCATTTGGCCATAGGATTGATTTATGGCCGCAAGACGTTAAGTGGATGCAAGATAAGTTAACTGTCGTATACTCGTATATATATATGTGTATATCCTCGCCGCTGGTGACCGATCCGAAACAATACCGAGAATGTTGACCAAATGGAGAAACGGTTGCGACAGCAGCAGCCACAGTCGGAGCACCACTGCGCTGGGGCAGATCCCATGGTTTATGACCCATAAATGAGATCGCTTCACAAGAGCGAAGGACCTCTGCCCGGCCGGCCACTCGACGTGCCATGAGATGAGATGAGATGAGATGCCATGAGATACGATTAATTTACCCGGCTTACTGATTGGCCCCATACTCGCATGTAATGGCTACATTTTATGCCCACTGCGGTCGGTCGCTCGGTCATTTAGGTATTGTAAAACATCTCGTAAACCATATAAGGCAAAGGCACTTGGCCTCTGCTTCTACTATGGGAACTTAAACTGAAACGAAACGGAACTAATGCCCCCGCTGATGGGGCATAGAACTACAGAAAACCGTTTAAGAAATTAGTTACTAAATATGTAGATGGGCCAGGCCATAAGCACCACTGACAGATGACTACAAGAGCGCCACTCTGCATGGCGTCCTCCTTCCCATGTCTACCTGTCTATACAAACTCGGGGATATACTCGAGGTAATCTGTGTGTGTACATAGGTAAACTGTGTCAAGCCAAGAGAGTAAAATTAATCACTTGCACTTACAAATACGAGCAGTGTCAGTGGCTCATCGAAGCTTACGGGACGGGTAAGGCCTGGGCCGGGCCTTCGCTGGCTGTCAATTTCAATTGAATTGGCAATTTGTTGCATAATCGAGCCACTGCTTAATGTTAATTTATCAATCGCCGATAGTCGTTACAAATTGTTGTCACCATAAACGCCAACTTGGAAGTACCTAAACAAACAAACGAAGAAACATACACAAACATACATAAAAGTATGTACAAATATGTACACCAAATGATGCCAAGTGTAGTCTGTTTAGCAGCGTAAACTCGATCAAAACTTGGTCACAGTCGAATATGGCAGACATGTCCCATTGGAACGGCTCAAACTTGTGGGTGGTTTGTTATAGTTTAGTCATCGGAAGTGACAAGATAAGATGGCAACCCAAATCGGAAGTGCCTAGACCAGCATTAGGGTTCGAAATTCTATCTAAAACTCTCCACCTCTCCATGTAAAACATATGCGTAAAGTCCGAATAATTTCTACATTCTATCGGGGCACAAAAAACCCAACAATTACATGTGCCACACAGCCATGTGTCACCGCCAGATTTCGACCGTTGCGCAACTAAAAATAAAATGTAAGACATTTGTGCGTGTGTGTTCTTCGCGTCTAGACCGAAATTAATTAATGAGTATAACAATATTACATGTTTATTGTGCTTTGGCAAAACAAAAACTGTCAATTTGATTGTCAATATCGGAATGTAAAATGCTAAAGCGTCGCAACGCTTCGCCTCGCTTTTGAGACAACCTGTCGTATGGTATGTTCAATTGGAAATTGCATAAATTATGGCACACTGCAATGCATTAGAGGCGGTAAAGCAATTAGCCAAAGTTTCAGGCAAAAAGTGCCTGTTGACGTTTACATTAAAAAACATAAAAAATAATCAATAACTATTTAGCGTAATGTTTTTACTCGCCTCTATCATGTTAGACCAGGTGTGGCTGAATTTTGTTGAATGTTTTATAAGTTGTACAAGTGGCATCCATTAGCTGAAGCAGTGGCAGGGGTTTTAATGTCATTCATTTTTAATAATTATTGCCGGTACTTGTGGCACTCGTGCTACTCAGAGCAGCTTCAAGTTCTGTGTGATTTTTATGCAGAAAAATAAATACAAATATTTCTTCCCCATTGAAAATCATCAATTATGTCCCAAATGATCCTTTCTTTTTCGGTTCTAGTGATTGTTTCTAATATTTACCTTACTTCCCAAGCAATCCCCCCCATCCATAAAAGACGCATATTCAAATATTTTTCATGATTATAAAGAATTTTTATTAAACGATTTAAAATTATTTAGATTATATGGTGTTCATATAGACGAAGGTGTTTTTGTTTTGTTTAGTGTTGAAGTCTGTTAGACAATGAAAAATGTATCACAGTTTTTGTATAATCTTATTGTTCTAATTTAGTAATTTATATATTTATTTGTTTTGTTTTCTTTTTACTTAGCTTAAATTGCAGTTTTGAAGAGAAACATTTGATCCGAATACTCTAGATACGCATTAAGAGTTAATTCATTTATAACTTTAATGAAACTTGAAGTTATTTTTTACGATAAATACAAACTAATGTGATATATAGATATTTTTTTTTAATATTAATATTAAATATTACACACAATTCATTATATTTTTTGCACGAACCCGTCGGCCAGTTGTATATTAAATCTGACTGGAGCACCCCTCTGGTAGCATGAGTGGAATCTCCTCAGACAGTTAGTCAAATAGTTCATAGATTTACCGTTGTAGTAGGTGTTTAGTGGTTGCTTTAGTGGTTGGTATACTTCTTGAAGAGCAACGGCTTGAACATGGCCGCCTCTTGGCGTTGCAGCTGCGGCGAGGATGAGCTGCTGCTGCTGCTCCCGCTGCTGTACTCATCTCTGGGGGAGTACTCACCGAGACGTGCCGAGAAATTCATCGGATAGTTGGAGCCAAAATTGAAGGCATGGTTACCGTTATTACTGTTGTTACCGTTATTACTGTTGTTGCTGCTACTGCGACAAGTAGCGGTCATAGGGGCTTGAGAAGCGGTAGGAAGGAGACTCAAAGCTCCGCTCAACACTTTCATATTCGGCGGAGTTTGGGGTGGAGTATCGGGTTGGGCTTCGAGAAACCCCATCGCCCGCGGATTCACTATTGACTGAGATTGCAGCGAGTGCAGCTGCTGCTGCGGATGCTGCTGTCCCCCCTGGCGATGGGCCGTGAACTGCAGCGGCTGCTGCTGTTGGGTTGGAGCTGATGCTCCCGCCTGAGGCAGGATGCCCATAGCTCCGTTCGAACTTCCCGTAGTATGGATGGTAGGCGTATGTGTGCCGCTGGAACTGTGTGTGCTGCTGCTCCGCTGCTGGCTGGGCTGCTGCTGCTGCTGCTGCTGTTGCTGCTGCGTATTGCTGTTGTACGGTGGGGCACTGTTCGTAGTATGGAGCTGTTGCGTCGTAGCCCCTAGAAAACCCCCGTAGGCCGTGGTATGCGGCCGTAAGTAGGGTGCTCCGTTGAACAGATGATGATGATGAGTGTTCCCCATCGGCAGTGTCTGTTGCTCTTGCGGCTGATGTGCACGCGGCGCTTGTCCCGGACTCCCCACCATTCCCATGTTCTCCTGCTGCTGCTGCTGCTGCTGCTGCTGCTGCACCTGCGGATGCAACTGCTGATGCATATGCTGCTGCTGCTGCTGCTGCTGCTGCTGCTGTTGCGGCATCCCCTGTGGCAGCACCTGACCTCCCATATATGCCGGCGGTGGGGTCTTGCAGCCAACTGTGTCGGCCAAACTCCAAATTTTGGGCTTGGTGGCTGGAATCGGCACGCCACAGTCCCGGCCTAATTGGTTTTTTGGATCACTGTGTTCCGTCTGCTTGTTGGCCACGTCTCCGCCGTGGAAGGCTGTGCCCAGCATGCCCTGCTGTGGCTGATAGTAGGCAGGATGCTGATGATGGTACGGATGGTAGCCAGCCGGATGGCCACCACCAGAACCACCAGCACCACCATGGTAGCCCGGACCAGCCGAGGGATAGCCAAAGCCAGCGCGTAGGATGTTCGCCTGGCCAATGCACTTTTGATCCTCATCGATGGCATCCTCCTCCTCTTTGGTCACATCTGTGGCGACAGAGAACAAAAACAGAATTTCCCACTGTGAAGTTTTGGCAACTAAAATTAGAGTTAAAATGTGATTTACCTTTGGCCAAACTTGCACTTTGGGATCCCTTGATGGGCTCCAGATCCTCCTTGTCCTTCTCATCGTCCGACACCATGGCATCGTCATCATCATCGGTGCGATTCTTCGGCTCCCACGTCATTTTGTTCTCCTTCTTCAAGCGCCGTCGGGCATTGGCGAACCACGTGGACACCTGCGTCAGCGTCATCTTGGTGATAATGGCCAGCATAATCTTCTCTCCCTTCGTCGGATAAGGGTTCTTCTTGTGCTCATTCAGCCAGGCCTTCAACGTGGCCGTGGACTCGCGGGTGGCATTTTTGCGACGAGCTGCCAGATCATAGCTCGCCCCATAGCTGCAATGAACAGAGGAAAAAATGCAAAAATGCTTTAAGTCTTGTGTCTGTAATTTGTTGTACAAAGAGGGGCGTTGCCTGCTCCTGCTGCAGTCAGTTTGCCTCTAATTGCAATGTGCCCTGCAAATCGGGGGCAGCCGAGGCAGCAGCAGCAGCAGCAGAACGACAGCAAAACATGGAGATTCATTAAAAATGCGGAAAATTCAAATTGATGTTTTTCGCTGTGCGCTCCCCTTTAACCCCTCTATCCTTCGTATCCCGGATGGATCCCTTCAGTGTAGTACAACGTCAAAGTATTGTAAAACACAGTTGTGAAACAGGCAAAACGGCCACACAAAAAGGAGCAAAAGCAAAGCAACAGCAAACCAAAAGCAAAAGCAAAGCAAAAGCATCTCCAGCAATAACGAGGACGAGCATATGGTAAGTGGGTGCAACTGAGGGGGAGGTGCCTGCTGCTGCTGCTGTACTGCACTTATCGCGTTTTTTATCCCATCCGAGGATGAGGCAGCATCTGCCTGTGCCACTGCCGCGAACCTCCTCCTTCCATCTCCACTTTGCTTTGCAATAATGGTCTATGCCCTGTCGGACGCTCTCTCGCTCTTCTCTCAGCCTTTTTGGGGTGTGGCGGTGCCAGCCTGTGCCTGCCCCAAGCATTTCCTAGCTAAATTAAACCCCAGACCCAGTCAGTGCGTACTCCGTTGCACATCCGCAGCCTGCCGCACTCACCCCTGTCCTCGTCCTCCCGTTGGGCATTTCACTTTCGGGTCTTTCCCCGTTTTTCCGTTCGTTTTTTTTTTCCAGACTCCCACAATAATCGTTCCTTTCTTTTTCGTTTTTTGTTCACTTTATTCTATTTTGTTCTTTTTGTTGTTGTTGTTGTTGTTGTGTTTTTTATTCGTTTTTCATGGCATTTTATGGTGCCACAATCAACAGTTTGTGCGGTGAATTTTACAACAAGATAAAGAACGACAACGAAGCTTGGCCCGCTGCCCGTTGGATGTAGATTCGTTCCGAGGACTGTCTGTCCTCTCAGTCTGTGTCCCTGCTCATTGCTATTCCGTTTGCTTTTTGCTTATATTTTTTGCTGCTCAAATCAGCCCTGACTATGGGGTGTGGGTGTCAGTGGATGTTGTCCTTTTATCTAAGAAGATACTTTAAAATCCCAGTAATGCTTTGGAGGAAACATTAACACAGGGAAACGGGTAGAAGCACAACTACTAGTACATGTACTAGTATAAGTACTAGTACCCGAGCTGGTAGTGTATTATTATCGCTCTGGTCTTTGGCTTTCTCTCTCTCTCTCTCTCTGCCACTGAATTGATACGCTTAGTGGGCTTTTTTGTTCTCTGATGTTTTACAACCTTACAAACATCAATTTGTTAGTAATTGGCACGCATCCTATTTTCCGTTGTGGCCATATATAATTATACATCATACATATGTACATACATCTGTTGTACTTTTTGGCATAACTCGCAAAACAAACCAAAAAGTGTTCGTTGCGCACAGGGGGCTGAAATTGGCCGGGGCCGGGGCTGCTGCTAGCGGGCCCAGCCATAATCTTGTTAACAAATCACATTCTTGTTCACACACAAATACAAATACAAATACAAATACAAATACAAGCCCAGACCACCGTTTGCACAGAGACCAAGTTAGAGACGGATGGATGCCATGTTCATGCCGCTGATGCCGGTCGAGGCTTTTAAGCCACAAAACACTGAGGTTGGACCGGACCGCTTATTAGTTTTAGACCCCGCTTACACACATTTACATTTCAGCTTTTATATGAACACATGCAATTTGGTCGACCGGAGGCCCACCAATTACTGTTGTTGCTACTGCTAGTCGCTGCTTGTTGTTGTTGCTATTATCTGGGAGCTGCAATTTACAGGCCCGAACACACATTTTAAACAAATAATGCCCGCACGCCAAAACACACACAAACACTCACACAGAGAGAGAATGACATTGGCTCCAGTTGAGCGCCGTGCTCAGACATGGGCATGCCTGTCAGTCGGTAATTACTGACTGTCACTTGTACCCAGCCCCAGTCTGTCCGTCAGTCCGTTAGTCTGCCTGAATTGCTACCTTTTTGAATTGCGCACCCCCCCGCTGCCAATCTGTGGCGATGAGCTACAAAATACAAAGCGCAATCAGTCCCCTCTTAAATGTTTGTCAACCTACCATATACTCTACCTATAACACTCGGGCACATAATGTTAAGTATGTATCTGTACTCGGTACATATGTACATATGTACAGCTACATCTACATCTACATATACTGGCCCCCAATATGGCGGCCAACATGGCGTTCATTTGCTGCTGCTGCTGCCGGCTCACACCTCGATCTCCTGCAGTCCGCGCTTACAACTCACTCACTCACTCGCTCGGCTCGGCTCATTCATTCACTCGGCTGCAGTCTGCCACTGCCACTGCCACACTGCCACCCGTTCCAGGTTCCCGGCAGCAAGCTCGATTTCATGGGCTTTCCGCACGCAAGCCAAGCCATGAGGCTGGTCGTCCAACGGGAAGCCGCAGCCGTTGCATGCCACTGCCACTGCCACTGCCACTCGGACTCTGACTCCGTCTGTCCCCATGTCCATAGTCGTATCAATTCTGCTACGCGTATGCGTATGCACCCACGTGTGTGTGTATGTCTTACAGATGCAGATACATATGTACATATTTACGTACATATTTACGTACATATTCTATATATAAATCCAGAACCGCCTGCAAGTGTATGCGTGTCGCTCTGTCGTGCAATTAACTGCTGTGTTTTTTTTCCAGCAGCAGCAATCATAAATAAATAATTTCGCGCATTCAAATTTTATTATCGCCTCTCCCTGGGGAGGAGAGTCTCCTCGCGATGCCATTGCCATTACCCATCCACAGCAACAGCAACAGCCGCATTTACCCATCCACCAAAGGCAATTAAACTCAAATCAATTTCAAGTACTCGCAAATATATTTTGTAATTAATTATGGACGCGCGATTGCATTTGATACGCAGCACAGCCCCCAGTCCCACCTCCCTTCAATTCGATTTGGACTCAAAGGCTTTCAATTTCTATTTGTTGGCGGGGTAATTAATTCTTATTGAAGACCTCAATGACTGGATGAGATGCCCTTAATTGTTTGGCAGAAAGTTAACAAATTTTTGGGTGGAAATGAAGTCACATAAATTAACGAGAAATAACTTTAAATCTTCAACTGAATGATGGTAAATGTTGTATAATAATTCTTACCCGTATGCTGACATTGGATCGTAGGAATAGTATCCCGTTGTGGGCTGCAGTCCTGCCGATGTCCAGGCGCCCATCTCCGCACCAGAGCCCGTCTCCTTCAGTCCATACGGATTGCTCTGCAATGATTTGAGAATATTTTGTGAGCAACCTTGAGTCGTCTTTTATGGCGTTGAGATCTGTACGCCGCCACAGCATCAAAGATTCAAACCCAAAATGAGTATTTTCCCACAGTTTTCGAAGTTGACAATTTTGTTAACATGGAATTTATAATTTGCCAACATATTTTTTGCAATGAAACAAGCAAATGGCGCAAACTGGTCATATTTTATAGCCAGATATAGATACACAAAAAACAAATAACAAATACATATTTTAAGGCTGCCAGCAACTTTCCTAAACAACAACAACAACAACAGCAACAACAAAATCAAACATTATCTAAGCCAAAGCGCCGATTATTGTTTTGTTATTATTATTATATGGGGAATGAAGGCTTCCATGTTCGATGTTCAAAGTTTGAATTCGAATTTTAATTTTTTTTGAGCTTAGTAGTGGTCGGCTGGGGTCCGTCTGTGTGTCCGCTGGCTGTGGCGTGCTGCGATTTATGCCCTCGGAAAATGACAGCCGGATTTATGAGCGACAACTATTGGCCAGATCGGCGGCGGTTGGGCGAGTGGAGTCGAGTCGAGCGCCCAATCTGGTTGGCCCTGCTCCGCTGTCGCGACCCGAGCTCTTTTGTGAGCTCTTGATTTATGAAAGGGTATTAACATTTTTAATTGCTTAACATCATGTATGCCGTTGTTTATTAATTTTTAACTCTCTACCGCTCTGCTCTTTGCTGCTCTCTACCGATGAATCGCCAATACAGATCCCGATGCCGATGCCGATGCCGATGCCGAGTGACAAATATATTTATCAAGCTGTCATTTTGGCCATAGATCGGCGGGACAGGTACGCGGGTAACGTGTCAGACTATCGCCAGCGCCCATCTACATGGTCTACGCACTAGTCGAAGGACAGTCCAATCTGTTAGTCAGTCAGGTGCAGCTGGGAGAGTGTGTGTGGAGATCTTCAGATCGAGCATTAGCACCTCGAAGGGTGGAAAGCGAGTGGCAGGGGGGCAGCAGAGTGGGCGGGCAACAAAATTGAGCAATGACATCTTATCGCGGCAATGGGGAGCGAACCCCAGTGATATTTTCTTAATTAAAAGTATGCGCTTCGTGACGGGCCGATAAAGAAGACACTCGGCCAGGTAGCACACAGAGCCGAAGCCACAGCCACAGCCACAGCCACAGGCAATGCTTATGTCTCTCTGTGCCACACTGCCACACGGTTATGCGGCATGCAGGGTAGAGGGAACTCGGAATGAATTTCCTGTTGTTGTAAATAACAATTTAACATGACACTTTGGTGGCTGCCGCCGCAGTGTGTCCGCCCCATTTGCCGCTTCTCTCTGCTTCTCCTGGGGGCAGGCAGCCAGCCAGGCAGGCAGGCAGGCAGGCATCATCGCCGTTACATCACTCTTTCTTGCCTTGCCTCTTTGATGTGGCACCACAGCGAGCCGCCAAAGTTGATTAGACGCTTTTTTACATATTAATTAGACGCGGCGGAGACTTTAACTAGTTTAATTTTTAAGTTTAGGGCAGTGCGATGCCCGTAAATATTTGTGACATACTGCGAGGGGCCAGCAAAGTCTGACACATTCTCAGCTAAAGTCAACAGAGAGGGAGAAAGATGATGTCCTGTTGCTATAAACACACACTCTACACACTCTCTTTTGTTGTGCTTTGGTGGCAGTCATTGAGTCTTTGGTTTTGGTTATTTGTCAAGGCTAAATACGTTCCACATTGTTGTTGTTGCAAGTACCAGAGTTACGTGTGTATTGTTGCAAATTTATGTATGTGTATGTGTATGTGTGTGTGTTTGTTGTGTTTGTGTTTGTGTTTGCGTTTCATTGAGCCAACTCGTGTTGCTTCTGAACCCGCTTCGAGTTTATTTTCTTCTCTTTTTTGTTGTCCGACTCGGGTACATTTCAGCGGTCTCTGGGAGCCTGCAAGCGGACTGGGGGCTGTGGACTGTGGACTAGGGAGCATAAGCTTGATTAGCCCACACATACGAGACACACACACATACACACACACACACTCATCTGGTAGTGTAATTGAGGCCATGGGGCAATATGTTTTGTTTCCAATGATTTTTGCCTTTCTTTATGCAACGTATCGAGTATCGTCAGGGGCAACAGCATTGCCCATGAATTAGGTAGATGGATAGAGAGAGATAGAGCCAAGAGGATAAGGGGGGAGCTGGAGTTCAAAAGGAAACTAAACCCTGAGCCTGGGCCTGTGCTGGGACCGGAGCTAAATGAGGTTTGACTGAGCTTCAGTCAGCCATAATGATAATTCGATTTACTCGACTGCATTGACAAGCCATCGTCGTCTTTGTTGTCGTTGTCTGTGTCTCTGTCGTTCGTCCCGTTCATCCCGTTCCCCTCTGTGTCCCCCTCCCTTCTGTGGACAAGCCACTGACTACACAATTAAAGTCATATGTTGAGATAATCCATTTAGCCCTGTGTTGGCCCTGTGTTGGCTCTTTTGGCTCTTTCACTTACCAGCGGTGAATAGAAGGCGGAGCTGTCCACTCCGATGCTCTGGTAGGGGTTCTGATCCGTCGATGGATAGGGCGTGCCGTAGACCCCAACACTGGCCGCCGGCAGGCGGGAGTAGCTGGAGAGGGCGAGACGTGCAGAATCGTACTGGCAGGAGCAGACGGTCTGCCCCGAGACGGGATCGGTCATTATGGGTCGACCGTTCTCGCAGCATGAGCTTCCCGTTGTGGGCGTCGTGCCCACACCATTGCCGTCCAGGGAGCCCCCGGTGGCCAGGTCAGCGGCTCCACCGCCACCGCCACCGCCAGCTGCCCCGCCAACCACCGATCCTGCGGCAGCATTTGAGTTCTGCGAAAGAGCATTGGGACTGAGGGCACCCGATGAGGCATCACCACTGCCCGTTGCCTGCTGATTCGTTTGGCAGTCCGCCGCACCTCCCGTTGGGCTCATCGTCGGTGCGTTTGTCATCACCAGCGATGCATCGTTCACATTCGGGGAAGTGTCCTCAGCGGCCTGTGCATTTGGCGGCAGTAGCTGCAAAAAGATTCACAAAAAGAAGACGAGAGATTGTAGGTTTGCCATTTGGCAAATTAAAATACACACAAATTCGGCTTAATTAGCTCGAGCATTTAGCTCGCTCTTATCTTAAATACTTATTATAAAAGAGCGCTGCAGAGTGCTGATAACTGATTGAACAGACTTGAGGGAATTGCCACTGGTTTACATAACTAATTCATGTTAATCAAGGGGCAACCACTTTAAAGTTTAAACCTTTATTTCGGAGCAGGCAAAGTCCATTGATGGGGAGACATTTGAAACACCTCGAGTGAGATATGAAAACACGTACAAAAAATATAATTCTTGACGCCGAGAATTGGCGCTGACAATTTATTGACGTTTATCTTGAAGACTCATTGGATGTGCAGCAGCATTTTCTTGGGCATTAGATGTCTCCCCATCTCTAGCTTTATCCCCCAACAGGATGTACATAGATTCAAACTAATTTTCTACAACATTAACTCGGACAGAAGCTTTTTTAACTGGTTTACTCGCTTACTGGGAAGTGCTTCATAAATATTGATGTCTGGAGATGGCCGATAGCCAGAGCTGAGGCTGTGCAATTTGAGTTTTAATTCGAAAAATCGACAGAGCATCCCCTCTGCTCTCTGCTTACAAGATGCCACGATAAGCGATGTAAGGGAATATGGTGTTAACACACAATCAGCGCCAGTAGTGGAGGAGAAGCACAGAAGCTACGTGAATCCATAATCCCGCGGCGATCAGGCGACCAACCGATCGACTGCTCATATTTCCTTAATCAATGGCTCTGCCCTGAGGCATGCATGGATGTAGCTTCTGCAATGGCGGCCACATCAATTATCCAGCAAATCGATTCCAAGTGCAGCCAGCAGAATCTTTGATTGAGACTCTTTTGAGTCTCCGTTGATGTCGTCCATCTTGGAGAGCTTCTCGCCTATGGCATGCGCCGCTCACTTGGCAATTAATATGCAAAATGCGCCAAGCCCAAGTCCAAGTCCCAGTCCATGGCCGGTTGTCGGGGAACGGCTGTATAAAATGCCAGAAATCAATGAGGGTGTGGCAGCCGACGCCTATAGGTCCGCTGGATGTCGGAGAGATGGAGCGACCGAGATGGAGCCGGAGATGGAGACGTCGCGTCGTCCCTACACCATCAGCAACATGCCGTCGAAGGCTTCTGAAAATTACCGCAGGCAATCTGAGAGACGACCGTCTGTCCGCTGCCTTAATTTCAAAGTATTTTGCTGCTGCGAAAGTATATCGCTGGACCTATAATTAAGTTGAATGCTTCGGCTGATGGACAGCTACAAATTGATCGAATGCCAACGGAATGGATGCGGTGCGGAGCGGAGTGGAGCGGCGCAACGCGGACCTGTATATCCCCAAAGGTCAGATGCGCCGTGCAACAATTTCTGCGTCAGTTACACAGCTTCTGTGGCACGTTCGACACAGGTCTGTGCAACATTTAGGGTTCTCCGCGAAACTCATAATTATTTCCAGTCATTAACATAATCTGACAATAGAGACGAGAGACTTCCCCCGAAATGTTTTTATATTTTATTATTTATAATTATTGGGCAGATCGTCTCGATCGATTCGAACCAACCCTCTAGGAGGTAGTAAGAACGTTTAAAAATTGCAGCCAAAAATAAGTTTAATTTGGCAGGCCCAGACCTCGATCAGACCACAAAAACATAAAGCAGCAGCAGAAAAAAAATTACATAAAAAAGAGAGAAACCTTTGGGAACATTTTTCAATAATTAATAAAGAAAATATTGAGTCATGCTGTTCGAGTAATAGAATTTCGAGGCCAAAATATCGTTGACTATATATAGGCGGGAGCTACGCAGCTAAGCAACATTATTAAAACCACAAAAAAATCTACGAAAAAAAAGCCAAGAGCCATTTATCAAATTTTGAGTGAAATGAATGATTCAGGTTTTTTTTTTTGTGCCGCGTGATTTTAATTAGTAAAAAGCAAATACATTGTACATTTCTGATTGTATGGGAAATGTTTTTTGGTGGAGCCAACGAACGAAGGAAGGCAAGAAGCCTTGAAGGAATCGCCGTTCCCATGGAGCAATGCCACTGCTCCACGCACTGCCTCCGATCCGCTCCGCTCCGCTCCGCTCCGAGTATAGTCCGGGCACAGGCAGAACTCTCACACAATATGAGAATTATGACAACTGATCTGATAGGCGACACCATATAGGGAGCTCTATGCGCCTGCCAGATTCCACTGCTCCTTGGCCAAATGCATTATTCATGAGAGAAGCATCCACAGGCACAGCCACAACCACATTAACGTCCCCAAGCTTGGAGTATGAGCAAAAGCCGAGGCTCGCTCGCTCTACCTGACCATTGGGAGGAAGCGCCAGCGAATCCAGCGCGGTACGACACTGGGCCACGGCCATGGCCATGTGAATCGCGGACTCTGGACAACCACAGTCGAAGTCGAAGTCGAAGTCGCAGTCGCAGTTGCAGACGCAGTTGCAAACGCAGACGACTGGCAGGCGACAGCGCACAGATAAGATCTCTCGCTCTCTCGCTGGCCATGTGTGCAGCAACCACTGCACATCGGAAATTTCTGTGAATCGCAAAACGCAGAGCGCAGAGGGCAGAGCGATCTAATCGCGACTTGTATCTCCGTTCCCTCCTCGGAGGTTGGCCAGGAACGCAGTGGAGCTCCACTTCTGGGTTCTGCTTCCACCTGAGCCTCCCTCCCCCGCCTCGGTAGATGACCAAGTTGATAGCGTAAGTCGGCAAGCGCCACATGGTGGGCACTGCCAAGAGAGCAGATCGCTAGATCTGCAGATCTGCAGTGGAAACGCAGTGCCAGCAGCAGTACCTGAACCTATTGCCATGTAAAGTAGATCAATCCACTCTCTCTCATTCCGACACGGAATCACTGGAGGACTGCAGCCTACAGTCATTCGTCTTTGGTTGTGGCTGGCTGCTGCTGCTGCTGCTGTGTCGTACGAGTAGGACCTCCAGTGGCCAGTGGATGAGATCAGGTCCTATCAGTGTTGTAGAATCTGAACTGCCGCTGCTGCACTCGGGAGCGGCATACACATACCGTGCACCGTGGAGCTTCTGGGTGCTGCTGCTGCCTCAGCCTCAACCTCTGCTTCAGCCTCAGCTTCTTCTTTCATTGATTCCCCCGTCACGTAGTCGGGCGCGCATGCTCTGGCGCATTCCCAAGGCCTGCCCTGAGCTGTCACTTTACGGTTATGAAGTTTATGATTTACGATCGCGGCAATTGAATTTTATTGACTTTTCAACAGTTTCACCTGAGTGTGTGCTGCGATCGGCACCTCCCATTACTTCCTCTCTGATTGCCTCTGTCAGTTGGCTTGTTGAGTTCTCCTTTTTTTCTCCATCTCCCTCTCTTGAGTGGAGTCTCCACTGCAGACATTTAATTGGACTCGTGTGGTCCAAAATGGAAAGCGAATGTGTGTGTGTGTCTGGAGGAGTCTCCCACCAAATGGAAACAGTGTTATTTTATTTTTTTTTTTTTTCTATTACTGATGGTGTAGTAAGCAATTATTGTATGTACATAAATGTACAAATATATGTGTATTTATGTATTAGCTTGTACTATTTAAATATGCTACTCTATTTATTTTCATTTAAGTTTTATTGCAGTTTTAAAGTTCACCAAGAAAAGCATGAAGTTTGTGTCCTTTCTTGTCAAGTTTCTTAAAAGTTTGTTATATATTTATCCTATTTATTATTTTTTCAGTAATCAATCCTGTATTAAACCATTTTTTATTATTTTCTTATACTTTCAGCAATCGTTTGGCTTGGGCTGAGAAACCCCAGATGGCATTACAGATAAATGTAAGTAAAATCAACTAAAAAATCCACTCTAGCTTATGCCCATCCACGACAAATTCAATAAAAATACTCTAAATACTCGAATCTGTGTGGTAAACCCCTTTCCAATTAGTTTTCAACACATCATAGAAATGAAATTAGAGTAAATTTTAGTTATACCTGAGCGCCCGACGGGAAGCCTCCGTATCCAAATTGTGTGTAGGCAGCCATTTCCACTGATTGACTTGCTCGTAGGTGTTGCAAAGTAATCTCTCTAGCTCCTTCTCTCTCTCTCTTAAAGTTGTATCTCTCAGGTGTGTGTTTGTGTGTGCTGCAGCATCAATCGTCCACTCCTGACACTGCAATGTGGCAGGAGACTGTCTCCTCACACAGTTCTCTGTTCTCCGTTTAGCGCCCGCACTGGCTCTGTTCACAGTCACAATCACCAAAACCCACCGACCGATTAGCCAGATTCGGCATTAGGATTACCGGAATGGAATCTTTATTGTGGCAACTAAACTCAAGGGTTCTTCGGGCCCACCAGGCAACACGGCGACGGCAACGGCTCTAACTCAGGCCTCTGTGACACGGCACACGAAACACAAACGAGGCAGACGACAAAACGGGAATATTACGACAGGCGACGGCACACTCCAGACTACAGATGTGTGCACCTCTTAGTACGTTCGAACACGAACTAACTGGTTGCGAGCGAGCAGACGACGAGGGCCGGCCAGGCAGCCTGCCAGCCAGCCAGCACGAATGCCGTTGCTGGGAGCCCGGCCAGAGCCGGGCCAGAGAGTCGAACTCGCAATCGCATTCCGTTGCAGGCCAGACGTGGCGTGAGAGTGGGACAACAGTATGCTCCCCCGGGCCCATACAATCCAACAAGAATGCGGCTGGAAAGTCTCCGTCTCCGTCTCCGTTTCGTGTCGCTGCTGTGGCAACGCCCTCGGAACAGTGCCACTGGTGGTGGTGGCAGCCGGCGGTGTCGTTCCAACGCATACATTGCACTGGAACACTCGCTCTCTCTCTCTGTGGGAGCGACAGGGGAAGTGATAGCGATACCGACTCGTATCCACGGTGGCTGGAAGTACACGCCAGAGTCCACCAATCAGAGCGCTCCGTTTTGGGCTGACAGTCGTGTGCTGTGCCTTCACGGGCCTTCCTTCAGGGCTCCATTCCTCATCGACAGGTGCGACAATCGCACCTCGTCCCGCACACTCCAACCAAACAAAAGAAAGCAAAAATGAAATGGAAAATCGACCATTAACTGTTCTTTTATTTTCACTCTTTCCAACAGCAGGGGTAGCACTCGGTGCCCGGTGCACACTTCACACACTCAACTCTTGTTTTCCGTGGGTCTTCGGCTGCTTCAGGCCATTCCAAGCGATACCCTTCCAATCCAATCCGCTTGGGTAACGCCCATTTGTTTTGTTTGGCTAGTCATTTGTTTGTTTACTTTTAAAACTCGAATGACTTCTCGTTCTGTCTCGCCTCTCCACTCCCCTCTGGATGGAACCGATCGTGTACCGAAATGCCCGCCAGTGTACATGTACTCCCCGATGCTTGTTCCCATTCACTATATGTGTGGAATGGAATGGAATGGTGGCGCAAAAGCCATGATATGATCATAAAACTCATTCGCACTTTGGCAGTATTCCAGTGGCCGTAATTATCACCGAATTGCGTGACTTTTTATGCACATTTTCACGTGTGTGTACATAAAAGATTTACAAATATCTGCATAATGATTATGCCCTTAAGAGTAAACAAGACAAGTTGGCCAAGCTTTGATTTAAGCAATTATTCATATGCCACATAGCGCCACAGATCTTTGTTAATTGTAATCTGTGGAACAGCACTTATATATTTTTAAGGGTTAGCGTGTTCCTCCTTTGGAACATTATCTGATGTAGGAATGTAAATTGTTAACTTAATTTATTCTTTGCTGCTGAAGGTTGCTCTTCTCACTTTGGAAATGCCTTTTTTAGCTCAATATTAACTTCTAACTGCCTCATTTCGCTATTCAAACCTTATGTATCTATTCAGGAGACAATTATAGGCACATATTTTAATATAAACATAAATATAGATATAGGATTACATAGGCGATCGTTGGCACCTCTTAGCTATATAGATTTTGGTTTCTATAAATTATTTTCTTTTCACTAATTTATTTGTGAAGTTAACATAATTCCTAATTTAATTTCTTTTCAGCTGAACTTATGAGACTTCATCCAAAGTCAATATGAGATTTTCTTTCTTTTCCTGTCTTTGGTTAGATTATTTTTGACTTTGCTAGTCACTAAAAACAAATATTCGAAATTTCAACTCTTTATGATCCTTTCAATAAATGACTTTGAGCAAGTCTCGCGAGCGAACTCAGAGCAAAAGCCAACAAAAAATATATAAAAAAATCTATTAAATATCCATGAGCTACCCAGCAGAAATATTTAAACAAATTGGCAGTTCCAAGGAGTAAACATTGATGGGAGTTCTATTAGTTTTCGTTTTTTACACAGGTAATCTAAAACTTTTGATGATCAAATTCATTCGTGGTTGAGAGTGCCACTGGCGGTAGTTTGTTTCCTAAAAAATGTCTAAAAGTTATGCCATTTATGGCAGTGCGTTGAGAGTATAGTTTAGCCACTGGCATTCGAATGCCGTTTTATGATCTATTTTTTACGATTCAGTGGCAGAATGAGGAACCGGGAACCGGGAACCAGCGGCCACTAATGGCGCCCCGCATGCCCATGGCACGCATTTCGGAAATGGTCCCGCTCCTGTGTGCTATCCTCTCCAGTGCTTTGCCCTGTCCAGTTCAATGTGAGATGAGATGTTGTGCCATGAGGTAAACCTCAAATGATTTTGCGGGTGTCGCGCGAGTCTCTACGTCCGCCCGTGTGTTGTTGTCAAGCTTGTTTGTTGTTGTGCTTTTTTTTGTGTATGTATTTTTTTTTTTTGCCTGGTTTTATGATAATGTAATAAAAGCAAATTAACCTATAAAACCCAAAAAGTGCGACTTACACGATGGAATTGCGCCATAAGGTCTGGGCGTGTCCCCACCTCACGGAGATATATGGATGCGGGATACGGGATACGGGATGTGGGATGTGTCCATGAATCTGTAAAACGGAAAGAGCGAAAAAGATCCACGTGGTTGGGTGTACCACCCACCAAGGCCTGGCTGGGGAAATAAGAGCCAGCGTGTTAGCTTAAAGCAACAAATGACCAAAAGCAGCTACGTTTCCCCTCGGTCCTCGGAATGGCCCATGTCGCTGGCTGGGGCAACGTGAATTAATTTCCAGAGGAAGGCAAAGCCAAAGCCAAAGCCAAAGGCAAAGCAAGTCATGCAGAGGGCAGAGAGCCCGGGACCAAGTGCCCCTCCGGGTGTTAAGTACAATATTTGCTGTGTTGCGCGTTTTACGAGTGGCGCTTTTGCAATCCACACAGGGCAGGGAAGGGCAGGGGGACGAACAGGCGGGACTGAGGCTGTGCCCGAACCAGAGAGAGAGCCAAATGCAATCAATCAATGGGTCAGCATGATGGTACACACCAGACGAGTGCCAACCACATGGGGCGTTTCCATTTGCGGCCGCCACATTGACCACCCTCTGTGTGGGTCTGGAAATGGGACGAGGAATGGGACTCTGACTGGGAATGGGAATGGGAATGGGTCGAGGATCGTACTGAGCTTGGGCATCCTTCAGCAAGAGCCTGCACTTCACTTACAAATCAGTTGCCGCCACTTAAAACCTATTTTGACAATTGAGCTGTCCGCCTGTCAGCCTGACAGCGCGCACTTTTCACGCCACCACTCGATAGTGCCTGTGCAGTGCTCAGATCTGCCATTCCGGATGGTGATGGTGATGGTGATGGTGGTGGTGGGGAGACAGCTTCATTGCCATTTTCCGCACCACACCGCATCGCCACGCACCCCATCCCAAGCCCATTAGCTGAGCGGCTGAGGGACGCAACGCAACGTGGAACGAAGCGCCGCGCCGCGCAGCGCGTTTTATGCTGTTTTAATTGCAACATCTGTCACTGCGGTTTATGCATATATCAATTTCAAAATAGCCAGAAAATGGCAACGGGCAATGATTCGAATCCGCAGCACAGACCCAGCCCAGCCCAGCCCAGCCCGGCCCTAGCATAAAACCCAAAGCCAAACCCGAGCCCGAGCCATGGAAAATAAAATATTTTCATATTTATTATTCACTTGCAACAACCCATACGGCAAAACTGTCACAACATTCGCTCCTGGCTGCTGTCGGACAGAAAGTTTCCCCGTTTCTCGTTCCGTTTCTCTACTTGTATGACGAGGGGTTGCCGATTGCCGATTGCCATTGCCGTTTGCCCCGGGCTCTGTATCCGTGTCCATGTCCGGGAGAAGGGTCAGGATACGCACAACACACACACAACCTTTCCCTTGTGTCATTGTTTTTGTTTTTCTCTCTGATTATTGTCATTTTCAGCGGGCTCGACTTTAATGGTTGTCAGAAAACATTAAAAATTGTCACATGAATATATCGCGCGCCGTTTCATAGTTGAGTTCTTCATAGTGCTCATCTCATCGCAGTACCCGGAGTACTCACTATTATAATGCAATGTCTGTGGACTGCTCCTAAGTACCAACATGTGTAAAATAGAGACACGTTTACTCTCTCTCTCTCGCTGTGAGCGGGGATTTCTGTATACTGCGGTTGTGTACCTTTATTCCACACAAACTATTGAAATATCTGCAACAACTTTGGTAAAAATATTACACACTTGCATTAGGAGTTTTATAGGGGTAGGAGTGTACATAAAAAGAGAGTTCTCATTGTTTAATTGGTATAAACTATTCAAAAGTGTTTTCTGTAATCGCTTAACATGTAAAAAATCATGGGAGGAGTACATGTACTTGTGACAGAAAGATTGTGGAAATACTTGGTGTAATGGTGATCTGATTTTGATTATTTGGGACAGAGCTATATTGTTAATGATTTATGCAAATGTTTATGTTTATGTCCAGCATCAAAAAAGGGAGAAAATAAACAGAAATTGTATGTCTTTCATGCCTATTTTTGGATTTTTATTTCTACTCCTACACTCAGATTCAGTTTTGTTAGTTTTCTCTTTGGTTTCTCTTTTCTTTTCCTGTGTTTATAAATGTCTCGTTTGGTATAAATCCCTGCCTCTATTTATTATATTCACATTGGCCCAGTCTTTCCCCGCATCTCCCTCAAAAACATGTCTGTAGACATCCGACTCAGGACTTTATGCTGGTTTCAAATATTATCTGGTTCCACAAATATGAAAGAAATAATCCAAGAAAGATCAGTATACCCCTAAAGGGTTAATCTAATTGAATTCTGAATAGAAAATTAAGTCTACTGCAATGTTTAATTACTTAGGAAGCAATTCTAGGCTTAGCCCTTAAAAGTACTGTGGGTTGTTTCTGATGTAAGTTTAATTGAAAAACTCTCAGGAGTTTGGCAAACATGCTTCCAGCATTCACACATGCATAAATACATGCACCCATACACAGCACAGGAAACTGAGGGACTGAGGGACCTGGGCCCAATCAGGCTGCAGTTGCTAAATGAGTTTGTCAATCAAAATGCAAATGTCAGAGCGAAGTGACATAATCCCACTCGGGAGTTGGGCGCTAAGTCGGGCGAGACGAGCCGAAATCCCGGTGCGAGTTAAAGCATTTGACCGCAGCCGCTGCTCCGCTGCTGTCGCTGCTCCGCTGCTGTTGCTGCTGCCGTTCCTTAG